CAAAGTTAGCAGAAATTGTAAGAACTGCTAGGGAAGCACTGGAATTTAGTTTCGGCATGATACCTCTCACCCTCTATGGAATCCTGGAGTGAGCGAGGCATTTCCTACTGAAATGGGGGTGCTTATCAATACAAAGCTCAAAGCCTTAATACAGTTTTTCAAGAAAAAGAGTAAGTAGGCATTTTTAAAAAAATCTGTTTAGACTTTTGGCAGAGGCATTACAAAACCGTTACATAACCTGCTCTTATTTCTCCAACTGTACATAGTAGCATTGTTTAGTTTACTGAGCTTTGATATTGTGTGGAGGCAGCTTATTAAACAGTGCCCTAAGCACCTGCCCTAGCTTTTGTTGAGCTTGTGAAGTTTGGAATTGCCGCTTGCTCATTTTCTTTTGTGTGCCTGAATTGCCATGGAGAAAGGAGAAACGCTTTTTGATGCAATAGTAATCTTGAAAGAAACTTGATACAGGCAAGAGTTGATTGTATAGAGATGTTTAACCAGCTGAAATCTTTTATAGTCCTTATAGCACCGTGCTCATGCAAAACTACTGCAGGATCCCTTTGCTTGGTTTTGTTACTTTCTCCAAACTTGTCATAGGTATATTTCAAGGGTTTCAGTCTAACCCGATGCTCAAGCAGCCCTTATTTAAGATCACAGATTGTTTTAACCGGCTAGTAGTTATGCATAAATATATATTTTAACAAAGGTACTCTGCATTTAACTCGAAAGGAAACTTGGTGGCAATAATCCTGCTCTCAGCATTTGTGTGGCAAGTCTAATTTAATTCTGTATTCAGCATCTGTGACTTTCTCTCCCACTGGTTTTCTCCCTCACAGTTGTTTCATCCATTCTTCATTATAGGTAGAGATTGAAAGTGATTGAAGTGTCAGGTAGATGGGCTCATCTTTCTGTTCATTATTTGGGGAGGTGGGGGTGGGTTTTCTTCAGCAAGGCTAAAGAAGGCAGCCAAGCATTGTGTCAGCATGATCTACCTGGCTGCATGAGATGGTCCTGGTAATATATGGTGTAATAAATGAGGATGACCTTAGAATTCCTCAAGCAGATCTTGCTGACTCCCATTAGTAAGATGTGCATGAAGAACTCTTAAGGGCAAACCGGTGGTATTTATAGGTTTGCCAAAATACTGTAGCCACGCTGAAAGGGAAGACTTTTTTGGTCAGGTCATTTATCACGGTTGGTTATTGTGGTGAAAAAAAATCCAGACAGGTTTCCCACTAATTGTGTTATTATTTACCTACATAACTTCTCAGCATATATTCCATTGTACAGATAGTCCTCAACTTACGACCACAACTGTATTGCTAAGTCAGACATTTATTAGGTGAGTTTGGCTCCATTTCACGCCCTTTCTTGCCACAGTTGTTAAATAAATCATTGCAGTTAAGTTAGTAACATGGTTGTTAAGCAAATCTGGCTTCACCATTGATTTTGCTTGTCAAAAGGTCACAAAAGATGATCACATGACCCCGGGATACTGCAACTGTCATAAATATGAACCAGTTGCCATGCATGCCGAATTTTGATCACATGACCATGGGGATGCTGCAACGGTCATAAATGTGAAAAATTGTCCTAAGTCACTTTTTCCAACACCCTGGTAAATTTGAACAATCACTAAATGAACTGTTGTAAGTCAAGAACTACCTGTAGTTATATAATAGTTTGTGTTTTGTTAATAAAGTCCAATAAAACAGCGGTCTCCAACCTTTCCAGGCTCACGGACTGGAGCGAAGGAAAGTAGCTTCAAAATTGGTGCACGCGCTCACGACACCACGCACACTGGGACGGTACCCCTGTTCATGCATGTAGCATGTGCTGGTGCCATGTGCATGCACAAACGGCCATATACCCACCCGGCGGCTAATGGCCCATTCAAGCATGCGCAAATGAGCCACACAATCCACCCAGGCTAGCGGCGCATGTGCAAAAAGGGCACAGATACCAACCCCATGCTAGCGTCTCTGTTCATGCGCATGTGCATGCGCAAATGGGGCTGCAGACGCTAGCATGAGTGGGGGGAAAGCATGCCCACACGTGTGCACATCGGCCAGCCATTTCCACAGCCCGCTGGCCAAGAGCCCGCAGCCTGGGACTGGGCCACGGCCCATAAGTTGGGGACCCCTGCAATAAAAGACGGCTGCTCAGTTTTGAATGTGCCTTTTAAGAGGAATACCATCCAACATTTGGTCAAGTGAATCAACCCCTTTCTGATTTTGAGGGGATTAGTGATTTTTAACACTTTATAAAATTTTATTCACTTATTTGAAGGCACACACACACATACAAACACACAACACACACGCACACGCACACACGCCATGGAGACAAGGAATTCCAGAACTCATCTTATATGAAGCCCATATGAAGGCAGAATTCTGTCTATTCATTATTGTATTTACAAAGAAAATGTAATATTTGCAAATCATTACATAAGCAGTATCCTTATGCAAGTAGTCCTTGACTTATGACCACCGCTGTAGCCAGAATTTCCATTGCTAAGCAAATCAGTTTATTTAGTGCCCAATTTTACGATCTTTTTGGAATGATTATTAACCAAATCACTGCAGTTGTTAAGTGAATCATGCAGTCATTAAGCAAATCAGGTTTCCTCCGTTGACTTTGCCTGTTGCAAGCTGCCTGAGAAGATTGCAAGTAGTGATCATGACCCCACAGCTTGCTGCAACCCTCATAAAGGCATGCCTGTTGCCAGGCTCCCCAATTTTTATGACATGACTGTGCGGAATCTGTGACAGTCATAAGTGCAGTGAATAATGATAAACCATTCTTTTAAGTACTGTTGTAACTTGGAATGGTCACTAGACAAATGGTTGTAAATCAAGGATCATCTGTGGTTTCTTATTTGATCTTATTTGATCATACTATCCCTTTCCACAAGCGCTTTATGTAATCCATCTCCGTTGGCAATGTTCTGTTTCTGTAGCAAGCTGTAGAATAGATGGAAATATCATTTGCGCTGTGTTTTCCTGGTCTACCTGGCAATCATATGGGCTGAGTTCTAGCAACTATGGACTGTCCAGAACTTTTTTTTGGGGGGGGGGAGAAGGGAGGAGGGTAGAGATAAATTAACTAAGTATTGAGATATAGAAAAGGATGGAACTGCTTTGGAGCTGCTCCCAATCCATTCTCCTGAAGTTTTTGTCCCCTTTTCTTCATCTGCCTGTTCCAACTAGAAAAATGTCTGCCTCTCCACTCCAATTCGGTATTGGGAAAATTAATCATTGAAGTATTTCTGTCTTAAATCTTGCCAGAAGAAATTGGTAAGGATCCAACAGCCTTTCACAGCACAGAAGCCCTTACATTTAGAACTGCCCCACTAGCATCTTCCAGAGGGAAGTGCAAATGTTTCCAGCACACTTGAGCAGTGTGGGAACAGATTATCTGGAGGATTTAATTATCTATTTAATTCTCTGTCTGCTTGCTGTGTTCAATATTGGAAACACCGCTATGTGTCTCACACTTTTAGGAGGTTGTTGAGATGAGGCAGGCAAACGTCTAACTCAAAGGAGATTTTAACTTGGGAAACTCTCGTGGAAGTTTCATTTAGACCTCAAACAAGCTGTTCTTTATAGACCTTTTAAGGCAGGCTAAAGTTTTTTTCCTGCCTGTTTTAAAGTTACATTCATCTGCCCTTGGAATATGTTATTCTTTTGAATCATTTTGTAATTATTTAATTACATTTATAAACACTTAATCCTTAGGGAGCTTGCAGTTTACAATATAAAACACCAAAGAAACTGTGTACAATAAAAGCACACAAATAAACACTTTACAAACCAATAAAAGTGTAGAATAAAATGAAATTAATAGCCAAATTATAACCAAAGATAGAATCAATCCAAAATGCCCTCTGGAAGTTTTAAGCAAATTGTAGAAGTCAGACAAAGTGGGATCCAATAGAAAGGTATCTCACGTTTGGAAGACCCAGTTCTGAAGTTATTTGTGCAAGCATTTTCATTTCTTTAGTGAAGAAAGGGTGGGACTAAATAAATAATTGAGGGTTCCTTTTAAACCGCTCAAGGCTGGTTTTTAATCCTAAAGTTCTATCTAAATGGCTTGGGTCCCAAGAGATTCCTTCTGCTTCTGTGTTTTTGTCCTCTGAAGTTGACTTGTCTACTCCTTTCATGAATTTATGTAAATGAGACGTTTATGTAAATGAGGGCCTGGGTCAGAGCCTTCTTTCTGTTTGTGGAATTCTTTGGTCAGAAAGAACAATTCTGAACACTCTCCTCTAATATTTTAGCAAGCTATTCCAGAAGTTTTTTACATCTGTCCTTAGTTACGTCTTCCTTTCCCAGGGAAGCAAATGACTATACATGCACAAATATGCAGAGACAATCGCTAAATGCTAAGACTTCCAGAGATGCTGGCTACTTCAATACTTTGCTTGCACTAATACATTTTGCTACATATCCTTTTAAATCACAACCCTACTCCATTAGAGTTGTACAACACTAACACATATCCCTGAGGTCAGACGGAGCCTTGCTGTACTATGTTAAGTCCTGGGTCTTCCAAAGGGTCTTTGGGAAATTATTTGAGTCTTTGTTTCATTTTTGAAGTGTGTTATTGCTTGCTGCTGATTGTGCTGATGTTGTGTTTTGTTGTATATTATTATATTGTGTTCATTTTTTTTAAAGAAAACTATATCGGGAAGTTATAAGATACTCTGTCACCTTCAGTTGGAGTCTCATATTAGCTGCCATAAATAAACCCATAAGGGAATAAAAAATAAAATATTTTTTAAAACATTATGTGAATACTTTATGCTGTTTTTTGAACTATTGGGCTACTGTGTTGTAGCAAACCTCATAAATTCCTTTCTACATACATAAAAAAGCAATCAAAATGGTTGTTATTACTCCTTTCATTTCTCTGACTTTATCAAGTGATTTCATTCTTTTAACTTTTAGTGTTTGACACAGCGTTAAATTTACCTTTGTCTTTCTGCTCTTTTACAGCTGTCTCCAATCTAGATGAAGAGAGTAGATGGACAGTTCATTATACTGCGCCCTGGCATCAGCAGGAGAATGTCTTCTTACCATCCACCAGGCCGCCCTGCGTAGAGGAGCTGCATCGTCAAGCCAAATTGAATCTGAAGTCCGTATTGAGAGGTAGGAACTTTACAAAGACATGTTCACTCAACAAGATCACAGCTACCACCTTTTGTTTCCTTAAGGGATCACTTATCTTTTCAAAGTTCTTAATTTTTCTTAAGTTTTTCCAGTTTCCAGTTTTTCCAAAATTCATTCACAAACTCATTTAATTTCACTAATGTGTTTGGGGAACTAAATAGGTTTGTTCTCCAGTACAGGAGATGGAGAATCCACCAATGGGTTTTCTCTGTCTGCCATTGGTGGATTCTCCATCTCCGTACTGAGAAAAGGCGTTCAGGTAAGACAACACCCCGATTCTCCATCTCCGTACTGAGAAAAGGTGTTCAGGTAAGACAATGCCCCTTCTGTCACTTTGAAGCCTATTGTAAAATGTTGCCTTTAATCCCTCTCCAAAATCTAGGAAATGAGAATTCCCGGTCTTAGAACAACCAGTAGAGAAAGAATTTAGAATATAGAAAAGGCACAAATTGCTTAGAAACTCTTATGACAAATGACCAGTTCAGATTAGTTCGTTTCTAGCCTAATATTTATTAAATTATTTTGACACAGAATAAAGAAGAATGGTAGTCTCTGAGACACCCTAAAAGTAAGCGGATGGTCTGAAATATAAGCTGATAGCTGAAAATCTGTGTTCTCAGTGAACTATTTTCATTTTTGCATGTTTGGATGGTATTGTGGCATTTTTTTTAAAAAAAAAAAATCTCGTTGTTACTTTGAAGTTCCTTTTTTTAAAAAAAAATAGCTGATATCTTGGGTAGAGTTTGTTTTGTACATGAATATTGAAAGCATGAAGTTAGAATATCAGGAACTACTGTTTGAAAAATTCATTGCAGGCAAAGTTGTTTGAATAATGTAATTAATTGTTTAATGTAAAAGTAGAAGTTAGTAACCAAATAACAAATATTTAATATAAAAACATTAACCCTCTTGCTTCCAGAAGTATTTGATGATAAGGTTTTTAATTTGTTTTAGTGCTCAATATTAAATGACATATGATTTTGTAGAGTAGATTTTAGCTGGAAAAACTGCTGCCCTAATCTCAGTATGGAAAATGTATTCCTAAGTGAAAATCTCTGTGCTCTGTAATTTCTCACCTCACATGATAAGAGTTGGTTTCAAAAGTGGTCGACAAGAATAGAAATGTTCAAACATTTGCTGCTTCGAGTGAGTGCAGCAGAATGTGAAAATATGTTGTTCTTCAACTGTGGTCAGAAAAATGGAATGCTTCCACACAGAGTTTTAACACTACAGTGAAAAGGTATTGTGTGATAGTAGTAGTAGTAGTAGTAGTAGTAGTAGTAGTAGTAGTAGTAGTAGTAATATGTGCCTTTGGTGCAATCCCAAAACAACTGGAGCACCACTTGAACACCATTGGCATTGACAAATTTGCCATCGGTCAATTGCAAAAGGCGGCCTTACTGGGAACAGCTTCCATCCTGCGACGATATCTGTAACACCATCAAACATCCAGATCTGCCCATCCCAGGTCCTTGGTAAGGACTCGGTAGGTAGACAAAAATGCCAAACCCAGTCTGAACATTTGGCTGACTGTGGGATGATCTAATAATAATAATAATAGTAATAATAATAATAACAAATAAAAAAATATTGGTGCGGAAATAGGATAGTTAAAAATGAGGGCACAACAATATCTGAACCTTCATAAAACGTTGTAAATGTGGCAGGACAATAATGCAATAAAAGCTTTACCTGAACTAGGTTGATGAGCTATTCTAAGAAAAGATTTAGTTTCCAGTTATGAATGTATTTTTGAAGGTAAGTGACAAAATCACACTGTCCTATTTTGAAAGGGAAGAACAGGTATTTGTATTGTTTAATTCTCTTTACTGCTATTTATTATATTTAGAGAAAAGCATTTAATGTATCTGGAGATCAGAAGGTTGTAGATTGCATCCATATTACAGAAACAGACCGTATGGGTATTTCCCTCTTGTTTCTCTTTTGCACTTATGCCTGCATATCAAAGACTCCTCTAAAGGGTTCCCATTTTTTTAGAACTTCCAGGTGGAAATAATCAGAAGATTCTGTTCTGAGGCTGGATGCTATTCCTTACGCAGAAAGATATTCTAAGAGTCTACAAACCAGAATGAACATTTGGTGTCTTCATGGACACAATTGTTAAGTTTTCTTAGAAATGATTTATAAAAGTTCTTCCAGGATGCTTTTTCAAATCTGAATTTACTACTTAAAATTCTGGAATTATCTGGTCAACTTCCTTCTCATATGATCCTGGGATCAGGCAAGGTCAGTTAGAAGCTTCTAACTGTTAATTTTTATAACTAACTATGGAATATATGTGTTTATACTAGAACAGTGGTGGCGAACCTATGGCACGGGTGCCAGAGGCGGCACTCAGAGCCCTCTCTGTGGGCACGCACGCCGTCGCCCCAGTCCTAGGCCTTCAGCTGGGTTTTATAAAACCTTTTCGCTTTAGGCCTCTGCCGCCGTGTGCAAAAAAAAAAAAAAAGGTTCAATCAATCAGTCAATTTCAACTTCTTGCGGGGGAAAAAAAGATCTTGCAAAGTTGGAATTGATTGATTGAACTTTTTAGTCCCACCCAGTCTGCCGTTACCACCACAGCCACACCCGCCCAATGGGCCACACCCATCCAATGGGCCACACCCACCCGGCACCTGACGATGCATAAGTGGGTTTTGGGTTGCAGTTTGGGCACTCGGTCTCTAAAAGGTTCGCCATCACTGTACTAGAAGTATCAAATTATTTTTGTCTATAAAAATGTACTGTTTTCTATTCCTAATTCAAGCACAGCTTGAATTTTATTTCCCTATTGAAGGAAATTGAAGACAAGCTACTCTAATGCAGTAAACAAAAGATAAAAGTAGTATAATTGAAAAATATTGCTCTGTGCTGATAATTCAAGTTGAAAATAAAATTCATGCCTACAATTAAATACTTCCCTTTTTTTATTCTCCCAACCAGAGAATTTCAAGCGAAGTGCCTGGAAAATAACAATTGGCATGAGTAGAAAACCCATAATGGGGGGGGGGCACAAAACCGAAAACAGTATTTTGCAAATGGTATTTGTTAACAAGCTGTCACTAGGGAGTGCTCAATGTGATCCTGTCCATTTGTCTTTGAGTAATTTAGATATCTACACTATGCATTTATGGATAATAAGGAGTGATTGCCTCAGTCATGCCCACTTACCTCTACATTGTGAAAATAAATGTAGTGAATTGTTGTTTGCCTATACGTAATGTGTGAACATGCTTCACAACATTTATTGCTTAGAACATAACATGAATAATCAATACTTAGTTTTCTCTGGATGATATTTGGCAAGTCAGTACTTATTAAGGAACTTAAATTATTATTAACTTTGAAACAAAGCTTTTGCTCCAGCAGTGAGCCCTCATTGTAATCTACTGTAGGTATCATGCCTAATAAAAAAACATATCTTGTTCCTAAACCTTCCTCTTTATCTCTGCAAATCCGTACCCATCTGTTGCTCTGTTTCCTTCTCTGATCAGGTGACAAATTTATGACGATAGTTGCATTCAGTGTTCTTTCTCTGCCTGCCCTTGTGCTAGGCCAGGATTTGAAGAATTCAGCCAATGATTTTAGTGCTTTCTTGGAATGCTGAAGATGCAAGCCCTGTCTCGACTTTATGCTTGTTAGCTTAAAGTGTTTTATTTGATTGATTTCTATGGCTCTTCATCTCAAATACTTTACTTGGCGTAGCTAATGATAATAAAAAGTAAATAAAAAAATACATATGCAAAAAATTAAAACACAGCAGCCTGGGGGGAAAAAATCACAAAATAGTCATTATCATTTAAAACAGCCATAATGTTAATTCTTCCACCATAATTAGTTGCACTGATAAACTTCCATTCATGCAGTGAACGTCATATGTCTTAGTGAGGCTTCCAGATACACTCCACAATATGCCCCAATTCGCTGAAAGAGATTTCAGGGGGTTGCAAATACAATGATTCTGTTTCTATCCCATTACATCTTCTTCTGAAGATTATAACTGAGTACAACTCGTTGTCCCCAAAGTGGGAATCTTCTCGTGATGGTCATATGAACCAGGAAAATGACCAGAGAACGAATAAGCCAACCTTCATCTCGAAAAGTGCATATTAATTTGGAATCTATATAAATACTTTGCTGCAGGGAATGTGTATATTCCAGTCTGTGTTTGAGGGAAGACTGCAATTTGTTATGCTGACCCCTAAGGCTAATGACAAAATGGGTTCTTGAAGGGTTGAGAGCAGGATATCTGAATGTTATTTTGTGCCTTTAATATGTGTTGGTTTTGGGGGGGGAAACAGTTATGTTTGTATATGCCTACATAGTGCCTTTGTACCAAGCTATTGAGAATTAAGCAGTTATAACCATTATGCAGTATGTCATTGTCAAAAATGTAAAAATCGACCAGTCTTTTGTTTTGCCAATTTGCTTTGGGAACACATTTGTTCAAATTCCTGTCTCAGTTAAAAAAAAGAAGAAGCTTTTTTTTCCCTCCCAAAACTGCAGTGAAATATACTGTGGATATAGTTCATGAACCTGCTTTATATTCCAGGCTGGGATATGTTTTTCAGCAACAGCCCAAGTGCTGCTGTTAGCATTAAAAAAACAAAAACTAAGCTTGATACGAAACAGTCCTTATGGCATCTCATTTCTGCTACTGATAGCCTTTTTTTTTAAGTCTACAGAAATGGGTCCTGTTCCACTTGATGCAAACTTCATTGCTGAGGTTTGCCATATTTAGACTGTTAGACAGAAATAGATCCTTATCAGAATCAAGAGTTTGCTTTTAAAAGCCCTCTTGTGATCCAGATAGCTGTTGCAATTATATTAACCATCAGCTGCTTTGTGCTACTGTACCCATTGTTAGTGGATTTTAAATCCCTTTTGCAAACATTTGTATTAATTTTCAGCTGTTCCTATAAAACAGAAGTATAAGCTTTGATTTGAGAGGCTTTCTGATAACGCAGTTCATGTGCAAC